AAACATCGTTACCCCCTGCCTTTAATTCCAGCCGCTTTGGAGTCCGTACGGGGAGCCTCCATCTTCTCGAAGTTAGATCTACGGGGGGCTTATAATTTAATCAGGATACGTGAAGGGGACGAGTGGAAGACGGCCTTTATGACCACCCATGGACATTATGAGTATCAGGTGATGCCTTTTGGTCTTGTTAATGCCCCGGCGGTGTTCCAGTCCTTCATGAATGACATCTTTAGGGACATTATTTGGAATTTTGTTTTGGTTTACCTGGATGATGTCCTCATCTTTTCTGCCAACCCTAGGGATCATGTCCACCATGTCCAGGAGGTCCTGACTAGACTCATTAACAACAAACTCTACGCCAAGCTTGAGAAGTGCATTTTCCACGCCTCTAAAATTCACTTTCTGGGTTACATCATTTCCCCCCTTGGTGTAGAGATGGACTCTGCTAAGGTAGTGGCCATCAATGACTGGCCAGCTCCTCGTAACTTAAAGCAAATTCAACGTTTTCTAGGTTTTGCCAACTTCTATAGACGTTTCATCCGGAACTTTAGCTCCGTCGTGGCGCCTATCACAGCACTAACCCGCAATCGACCAGGCTTGGGTAAATGGAACCCGGAGGCTAACCAGGCTTTTTTACGCTTAAAACAACTCTTCAGTTCGGCACCACTTCTACGACACCCGGATCCCTCTCAGCCATTCATTGTGGAGGTTGACGCCTCAGCCTATGGGGTTGGGGCCGTCCTCTCCCAGCGCCACGGGGATAAGCACATTCCACATCCCTGTGCCTTCTTTTAGAAGAGGCTCTCCCCTGCTGAGGTTAATTATGGTGGCTGGAGGGGGCTCATCATCCCTTTGTCATTATCACAGACCATAAGAACCTGGCCTACATTCAGTCTGCCAAACGCCTATATTCCCGTCAGGCCCGTTGGTCTCTTTTCTTTTCTCGCTTTAATTTTGTTATCACCTATACATCCGGCTTCAAGAATGGGAGGGCTGATGCTCTCTCTCGGCTCCATGATCCCCCGGATCTGGACACACCGGAGCCAATCATTTCATCTAACAGAATCCTCGGGGCGATCCACTGCTCTATTGAGGATCAGATCAGATGTGCCCTCAACGGATCTACAGTTCCTTTGTGCTGCCCCCCGGATAAACTTTTTGTACCAGACAACTTGCGTTCTGCTGTCCTGCAATGGGGGCATGACTCCCGGTTTGCAGGCCATCCCAGGTGCAGACGCACTCTGGAGCTACTCACCAGGGATTTCTGGTGGCCTTCCATGCGATCTGATGCTGGAGAGTACGTCTGAGCTTGCCTGGTCTGTGCCAGGATCAAGACTCCGCGTGCTAAGAAGACCGGTCTCCTTCACCCCCTTCCGATCCCACACCGCCCTTGGTCCCACATAGCTGTTGACTTCATTACGGACCTTCCTAACAGTCAAGGTCATACGGTAATCTTGGTGATCTCTGATCGTTTTTCCAAGGCAGCCCATTTTGTCCCCCTCCCAGCATTGCCCACAGCCCAGGAAATGGTGTCACTGTTTGTGCAGCAGGTCTTTAGGATATATGGGTTGCCGGACGATGTGGTCTCAGACAGGGGACCTCAATTTGTCTCGGCCTTTTGGAAGGCGTTCTGTCAAGCTTTGGGGACCCATGTATCTCTGACTTCGGGTTATCATCCTGAGGCCAATGGTCAGGTGGAAAGGACCAACCAAACCCTCCTGACCTTTTTGAGAGCCTTCACCTCCAACTCGCAGATGATTGGTCATCACTACTTCCCTGAGCAGAGTATGCCCATAATTCTCTTACCTCCTCCTCCACAGGTCTCTCTCCCTTCCTCTGTTCACTAGATTATCAACCCACTCTCATCCCTGTCACCCCTCCGGACACAGCTGTGCCGTCGGTGCGTCAATATATTTCCAAGCTGCGCAGGACCTGGAGAATGGCAAGGACAGCTCTCACCAAGTCAACCCAGCGCCACGCCAAATTCACAAACCGACACCGCAGACCAGCCCCCTGTTTTCAGAGAGGACAGTTTGTTTGGCTATCAACAAGGAACCTACCTCTACACCTGGCTTCCAGGAAGCTCGGGCCTAAGTATATCGGCCCCTTCAGGATACTCTCCCAGATCACCCCGGTTACCTTCTGTCTTGAACTTCCCCCCACCCTCAGAATCCACCCGTCATTCCACGTCTCCCTCCTGAAACCCTTCTACCGCTCACCTCTGGCGGCTCCCCAATGTCGCCCACCACCCCCGCGTCTCATTCAGGGGCACCAGGCGTATACAGTCCACAAGATCCTCGACTCCAGATGGAACCGCGGTACCCTTCAGTATCTGGCCGACTGGGAGGGTTATGGCCCCGAAGAAAGATCTTGGGTTCCGGAGGATATTTTGGACCCTACGCTAATCGGAGACTTCCACAGGGACTATCCCGATCGGCCGTCTTAGGCGTCAGGAGCCGCCCGTGAAGGGGGGGGTACTGTCCTTTATCCTTGGTACTTAAGCGATCTAATCAGCCCCAGCAGCGGGTGATTATTAACAAACGGCGCCGCACGAGTTAACCCACCTGCACTCACTCCACCGTGCAGTGCGCAGTGCTATTTATACCCTCTTCACCTGCTTCCCGCTGCTCGGTATTGAGTCTACTCCTTGAGACCTCTACCTGGCGTTTTTCCCCGTACCTCGTTTATTCTGGATTTTGGATTCCCCTTCTGCCTTTTCGACTTTTGGACCTCGCCTCTCACCTCGGACTGTTTGCCACCGGTGTACCCCCTGGATTACAACTTACCTTACGCCTTTTGACCACGACCTTGCCTCTCGTTTTGGATTGTTCGCCTGCCTCATCTACTACCCGTGCCGGCATCAGCACAGGATCCTTGTATCTTTCCACCAGGGATTCCTAA